CGGCCTGTCGGCTCCATACCAGACCAGTCGGCGGGTGATGTCTACTACACAACCTTCTTCTTGTAGACGTTGTTGGGCCTGCAAGTGCACAGGTTTGTAGGACAGTAGCAAATTTCCCTCAAGTGGATGGCCTAAGGTGTATCAATCCGTAGGAGGCGTAGGATGAAAATGGTCTCTCTCAAACAACCCTGCAACCAAATAACAAAGAGTCTCTTGTGTCCCCAACACACCTTATACAATGGTAAATTGTATAGGTGCACTAGTTCGGCGAAGAGATGGTGATACAAGTGCAAAATAGATAGTAGATATAGGTTTTTGTAATCTGAAATAATAAAAATAGTAAGGTAACAAGTGGTAAAAGTGAGCGTAATCGGTATTGCAATGATAGGAAACAAGGCCTGGGGTTCATGCTTTCACTAGTGCAAGTTCTCTCAACAATAATAACATAGATAGATAATATAACAAGCCCTTAACATGCAACAAAGAGTCACTCCAAAGCCACTAATAGCGGCGAACAAACGTAGAGATTATGGTAGGGTACGAAACCACCTCAAAGTTATTCTTTTGGATCAATCTATAAAAGAGTTCGTACTAGAATAACACCTTAAGACACAAATCAACCAAAAACCTAATGTCACCTAGATACTCCATTGTCACCTCAAGTATCTGTGGGCATGATTATACGATATGCATCACCCAATCTCAGATTCATCCAACCAACACAAAGTACTTCAAAGAGTGCCCCAAAGTTTCTATCGGAGAGTCAAGAACGTGTGCCAACCCATATGCATAGGTTCCCAATGTCACGAAACCCGCAAGTTGATCACCAAAACATACATCAAGTGGCCCATGATATCCCATTGTCACCACAGATAATCACGGCAAGACATACATCAAGTGTTCTCATAAAAGACTCAATTCGATGAGATAACTTCAAAGGGGAAACTCAATTCATCACAAGAGAGTAGAGGGGGAGAAACATCATAAGATCCAACTACAATAGCAAAGCTCGGGATACATCAAGATCGTGCCATAGTGGAAACACGAGAGAGAACATGAGAGAGAGAGATCAAACACATAGCTACTGGTACATACCCTCAGCCCCGAGGGTGAACTACTCCCTCCTCGTCATGGATAGCGCCGAGATGATGAAGATGGCCATCGGTGATGGGATCCCCCTCCGGCAGGGTGCCGGGAAGGGCTCCCGAGAGGTTTTTGGTGGCTACAATGGGTTGCGCCGGCAGAACTCCCGATCTATCTTCTCTTCTGGAAGTTTTACGATACGTAGGTATATATGGGTGAAAGGAGTACATCGGTGGAGCTACGGGGGCCCCACGAGGCAGGGGGCGCGCCTTGGGGGGTGGGCGCGCCCCCCACCCTCATGAGAACCTCCCGTATCTTCTGACATGGGGTCCAAGTCCATCAGGTGGGTTTCCTTCCAAAAATAGCTTCTCCAGTTGATTTCGTTCCGTTTTGACTCCGTCTGATATTCCTTTTCCTCGAAACACTGAAATAGGCATAAAACAACAAATCCGGGCTGGGCCTCCGGTTAATAGGTTAGTCCCAAAAATATTATAAAAGTGGATAATAAAGCCCAATATTGCCTAAAACAGTAGATAAAGTAGCATGGAGCAATCAAAAATTATAGATACGTTGGAGGTGTATCAGCGGGGCCCACCAGGCGGCGGGCCCCAGCTGCCGACGAAGAAGTCGGAGACCAGAGACACTAACGGCCGGGTCCAGCACCCGGCCAGATTACCATTGTACCCCTAGGGGTTAGGCCTATATAAACCCCCAGGGCACCCATGCAAAGGGTTCCCAACCTGTTAGAACTAGCTTCCACCCTAGAGAAAGAAGAGAGGTAGCCCTGCCTCCTTCTACCTCTAGCATACAGCTCGAGGAGCACTATTGTATTCACTAGTGCCTTAGTGATCATGCGGAGACACCGCAGAGCAGGACTAGGGGCGTTATCTCCTAGGAGAGCCCCGAACCTGGCTAAACTGCGTCGGCGTTCGTGTCTACGCCTCATCCCGCTTCCAGGCACCGGTGACGTTCTACTCGCTCCCACCATGATAAGCCATCCTTTGACATATGTCGCACCCAACCCCCAACAGTCACGATCTTCTTACCGCAAAAAAAAGCATCACGATCTTGCTTCCATCGACTAGGCAACTAGAGAATTGCTTCGAACCTGCTTCCGTTAGAAAAGAAAATATTCCACATGTTTCATAAGCATCACGATCTTGTTTCAATGACTAGAGAATTGCTTCCGAGGAAATATTATTTTGCTTCCATCAAAAATAAAAATATTTCCAGTCATAATTACACATGGTTCATAGAAATTATGAATTAGTTTGCAAAGAAAGAAAAAAAATGCTACTGTCCAACAGAGAATATGCTTCAACAGGCAAAGCCAAATTGCTTCCATGTCTCTAATTTAACTATTTCAAATGTGGCATCCATAGCAGGTAGAACTTGTGGCGCCCCTACCTGAGCGCCTCGATCTTCTTCATTGTGCCTTCCTCGAGGCTGTATACCCCTAACAGCCCGAACCTCTGCCATGGAGGATATAAGGCAGACACAAAATCTGCTTCGAGATAAGAGTATTAGTAGCTTGCATTGTACATATTTGAATTGTAAAATTGACAAGAAATAAGACAAATCGGTGGCTAGGGCAGTGGAGGATGTAAGACACGCTTTCGTACTGTTGGTGTATGACCTGTCAGTTGCTAAGAGCAAGGCAGCCACCAACATACAATGGCACATAGTTTTGGCTGCATCACATTCAACATTGTGGGCATTGTGTTGGCAATGAAGAAGCACAGCTGAACTGAGTCAAGCAAAATGCACACACAACATATTATCACTTGGAAAAAATGAAGCACACAGTAGTAGTGGTTTAAACAAAAGAAAAATTGCAAGAAGTAGAATGTATGTACAATAAAATCACTAAAAACAGTAGGGGTGTTCACAATTGTTTTGCTAAGAACAATAACAGTAAAAGAAGCAGTATTGGCCATGGTTGAAGCACACAATAGTATTGGTTGAGCCCAAATGTCTATGCAATAAAAGTAGCATACACCAGCAATGGTTGAAGTAAAAGTTTACTACCATGGAAACATATAACAAGACAAAGTTAGAATCATCTGTGTCGTTTCATGAAAACATCAATAAAGGCGATGAAGCATACACCAATAGTGGTTCAGACAAAAACAACACTTCGGGAAGGAAAATGTATGGACAATTATTTTCGTAAAATAAGTAACGCAGGTTGTGGCTGAAGCACAAACAAGTATTGATTAAAGCATAATCTATATACAAGAAAATAAGCACACACTAGCAATGGTTGAAGCAGAATTTGACTACCATGGAAATATTGCAAGAAACAAAGAAGCATGGAAATGATACTTTGGGAACATAACAAGTCTGGGACGGAAGCATGCAAAATTGAAATTGTAAAGCAAAGTAATATTACAGCCAAAGATTGTCATGCATATTATTCAGATGTGTGTACCACATTATAGATATGTTGCCCAATTACAAGTCGGGTAGAACCATGATATGAATAGAAGAATCAAGATTAGAGGACTTGTATTCTAAAAAAAGATTAGAGGACTTGATACCTAGGTCAGATGAGTGCATGCTGCGGGCAAGGGAGGGGCGAATCCTGCAACATTCTCGCGTGCTTTCTTCGTTCCTCAATCTAGACGATGCTCCACCGTGGTGAGGTCTTGAAGCCCAAACATAGTGGAGATGATCGGGACGGTGAGGGGGTTAGGTGCTCACTCATGAGCATCGTGGATAATGTCAGCCGCAGCTAACAGATGGTAAACGTACCGACGCGGTGAATCTCATGGCCGCTGTGGGGATGACTGGTCCATGGCGGAGAGATCCATGGCGGTGAGGGGAGAGGAGAGCTCGGGGCTGGAGAGGAATCAGGAGGGCGAGATGGATCGAGCGACAGATGGGTCTGGGGCAGGTGAGTTAATGCGGGGAGGGATTATAGGTGAGATGTGGGAAGAAAATCGATTGAGTTTGGAAACACATCTACGGATTTTTAGAAGCAACGACAGCCGTGAGATAAAAACACATCCACGTCTCACGACCGGTCTATCTATCAGACGTGTGATAGAAAGTGTTTCCCATTTTCTTTTTAAGTAAGTAGTAGTAGAGATATAGAGAATATAGTACAAGTAGTACGTACTTAACAGAGTTTCAACTAAGGGTTAGTTGAGTCATGCAAAATAGGGTTTCATGCATGTTTCTTGTTTCATGCATGTTTCTTGTTCTTTGATGATGTTTGAGGAAGCACAAAGTGCATCTCTAAATATAGCAAGCACAAAGACCCTCTTTTTTTTAGGATTGCAAGCACAAAGACCCCTTTTTTTTTTGAGGATTGCAAGCACAAAGACCATCGGGAGTCCTCGAAACCGGACCAGGCAACTAAAAAAAAACGGCCCAGGGCCCGACTTGTCAGGCAGGCATCCAATCGCGCGGAAATATCTGCGCCCGATATTTTTGCGGCCCCGCGCGGCCACGTCAACATAAAGTACGCCTCCTCCCTCAAAGATGAAAATAAAGTACGCCTCCACGCCCCCCGCGCTGCCCTTTTCTTTCTTCGTCTTCTCTACCTTCTCTCTGCTCTGCTCGCTGGCGCAGGCCAGATATTTTTCTTCCGATGAGAGTACACATCTCGGCCTCCTCATCTCTATCTCTCCAGGAGGAGGACGACGGACCACCAAATCCCATACATCTCTTCCCCTCTTCTCCGTCGACCTGCGCTTTTCTCCGAGAAAGTCGGCAGGAGATGTCCTGATTTCTACGTCCTTCTCCGGATTTCTGGTGCCGTGCGACGGTAGTTCTTGCGGAGGAGAAAGCTCGAATCTTTGTCGATCTGTTCGTCCAACCGCTCTTTCTGACCACCGTCGATTTCGGTCCTGAATCTTTCTTTCCATCCATTTCATCGGAGACATAAACATACACTGCTTCTTCTTGATCCCATGGGGGACGTGTCCACGATTCAACGGCCACCCGGCAGTGTCGCCAAGGTAATCTAATCTAATCTATCCATGCCTGACTGTTTTTCTGATCCACTGCAACTGCAAGTAGGAGTATATCACTTCGACTTATGTTTGATTTACTTGCCTTTGATAAATGAAATTGTTGATTAGCTCAGTATTCTCTTGTGATTAGCTGGTGCCAATCGCCATACAAGTTTAATTCGACTCCAAAAGTTCAAGCAAAATAATCACCTCTCTTTTACTGTAGGATAGCTGTCCAATGCGAAAATGAGTTAATTTTGCATGGAAATGACCTCGTTCTTCTTCAGCAGGGCAATCAAGTTGGAGAGTTCGTGTCGGCTGGATGGACAAACGACAGCCACGACATGTACATAAGCTCCATGGAGGCCTCCTTCATGCAGCAACTCCGTGGCCAACAGTTACAGCACCACCACGCTCACGCTCCTGCTAGTGCTAGGAACGTGACCCATGTGGCCGGCCATGGGCTCAAGGCGCTCCATGTCCAAGATGGAGCTCCGAATGAGCTCATGTCCGAGAGGAACGTCCCTCGCTCGCGTCATGTGGGCGTAAGAGGCCTGCCCGAGGATCCGTGGGCAAGGCGTTTCAGGCCACACAAACATTATTCTGGTATGAATCGTCACGGTGATGTGGTGGGTGCTTCGGCCGATGATGGTGAATCGGGTACCGATACAGTTCAGAAGACTTATCGGACACATGGAAAAGAAGTGCACAGTTGTGCTGGCGAAAATCTTGTTGGCAAAAGCTCAGGTTGTTACATTACATTATCTTGTTTGCAGATTGTTTCCTACAGTATGTGTTTTGTTCAGTTTGGCAGAAGTTCAGAATTGCTATGCAGTGTTCACTTACTGTTAGTCTGATATGAATTCAGAAGTGTTGACTTAGAAAAAAGATACTCCCTCTGACCCAGAATATAAGAACGTTTTTAACACTAGCATAGTCTTAAAAACGTTCTTATATTTTGGGACGGAGGGAGTACATTATTCTCATGTCAAGTCGATAAATCCAATAATTGTGATCCAAGAAATGATGTAATTTTGCATGCCGGGGCGCAGGTATTCGTCATTATACGTGGAAATAGTCAATGATTTTATGGAATTGTTTGTCACATAAAGCGGCTATAACTGAATTGGCTATCTGGTCGACAACCATGTTTAATGCATTGTATATAGTAGATCTTTAGTAAATAATTATATTAAACTTCACTTTGACAGAAGTTCATAACTGTTATTCAGTGTTCACTGCTAGTCTGACAAGCATTTCGTTGCTTCTCTGCAGAAGCCTCTGGTCAGAATTTTCCTGAAGACGATGTTCATTCCATTGCTCAGCGAATCAAATCATGCAAGAAAAGGAGGACTGCCCCTTCCACCGCTGCAGGTTCTTTCACGTCGATGCTCGAATGCAGCGATGAGCGGTGGTGAAGGCCAATGTATGTTTTCTGAAGCCCGGAGGAAGCGACGGAAGACTAGTTGTAGAAATTCTTGCTGAAGCAGTTGTGATAGGTGACTGGTGCGGCTGCTAAATTTTTTAACTCGGCGGATAGCTCTTGATCGGTCTGCTCTTTCGGCGTGATGGTGGTGATGTGATGATGTGATGTGTGAGCATCAGGCTCAAGTTTGCAGATCTGCGAGAGTGGAGGTGGTGATGTGATGCCTTGTATTGGTGTATTTCTTCAGCATCTACAGTTTGCAATTGAATCAATAGAATTTGGATAGTTTATACTACATGACTGTTGATGCCACATGGATGCAAATCAAACTTGTTTGGTCTGGAGACATTTTTTGCCTGGCAATCTCTCTGTTTCTTCTTCTGCGGACTGTTGGTTGTGTTGTGCTAAAACTAAAGTATGTTGTGTTTCTGTGAGGTCTTTGTTAAAAATAATTCCTGATGCAGGGCATTTCTCATTCAATCCATATATGAAGGTCTTCGTCCAGAATAGCGTTGCAAAGACCGAGCTCATGAAGCTCGTTTTACAAAAATATTCAAGATATACATATAAGTTTAAAAAAATGTCAATTTTTTTCCACAAATATATATGCATATTGTTCAAGTATGTATAAAATTTCATCAACTAATTTGATTATTTGCATGCTACACAAAAAAAAAATCTGGCCCAAAGACAACAAAGGAAAGGCCCATTTTAATATGTGTATTTGTCTTTTATGTGTACATCACATATGAATATGTATGTTCACGGAATTTTGTACATGTATACTACAAATATATGTCTACGTGTATACTTTTTTCAAGATTTTTTTGAGGTGTGAAAAAAATATTTTCACTGGAAGAAAATAAATAAAGAGCTCAATGGAGCTCGACCTCTGCAGGCACTTTTCGGGTCTTAGCCTAATTTTGGCATTTTCATCCGGTCCATATATCGTGATCTTCTCTGCAACAGTGCCATCAGAAGGCAGATACTCAGCTCAGGTTCCTACTACTGCTCAAATTTTAAGATCAACCCAAGCCGAACCGCATGCATGTATCAAATCCCACTATGATTACAATCGCTATATCCTATTATACCGGCTCAATCTCTCAAAGATGCTCATCAGTGGCGGAGGTAGAGGATGGGCGGGGTGGGCCCCGTGGCCCGCCCCGAGATTTGGAAACAACTTTTATACCGTAGGAGAAAAGCTAAAAACATAAAGTAAAAGTAAATAAATGTATATGTGCAGTAACACTGCTGGCCATTCCTGGTCCAGTGGGCTAGGTCTGCTACTGATGCTGATAGGGATAGTGTGCGTGTGTACGTTTATAGAGGTAGGTGCGTGCTCGTGTATGTTAGTGGCTTTGGTTGTACTATGTTCACAAAAATGTCAATGGGTGTGTTTGGTTTGTGCCCCTATTAGCCCAATCAAAACATTGGCATGACCAAAGTTAGGGCAGGACCAAAATTTTGGCAAGCTATATTTGTTTGGATCATAGCCATTGTACCTGCCAACATTTCAAAAATAAACTACTGTATAATATTGTCGGGTTTCTTCAACTTATTGGCGATGGCCATGTCTACATGTTATCCTTGAGCCGGTGAAAATAAGCCGCCAAAGCATTTGAACCGGTGACCCCAGGCTAACCAGCATGCACGCCTAACCAAGATACCGAGATAACACTTGATGGCCTAACACGATACTGAGGGTCTCTCTGATTTGTAGGATTTTGAAAACGTAGGAATAAGAAAAGTATAGAGTTGGAGTGGAGGACGTGGGCATAGCCCAGTGGTTGGGGGCGCATGATTGTAAACCCAACGACCAGAGTTCGATCCACGTCGGGGACGAATTTCTGGAATTCTCATGAGGGATGCTTCTTCTATATCAATAAACCGTGGGTGCTAGTGCCCATGGAGTTTCATTTTTTTTTTAGAGTTGGAGTGGTATGCTCACTTGAATCTTATAGGATTAGCAATGAGTGTTTGATGCCACAGAAAAAACAAAGGAATTTTGAAAAGAGGTTGGAGTAGATGTTAGATTTCCTATGAAATGTATTAGAAAAGATTACATAGGAAAAATTCCCATGGGATCCAATCCTATGAATCAAAGGACTAACGTAGGAAAAAATCTTAAGGATTTCAATCCTTCAGAAATCCTATAAAATTAAGGCCTCCTTTGGTTTAGAGGAATCTTGTAGGAATTTTATAGGATAGGATTTCTTTAGGAAGAGCTCTTTGGTTTGTAGGAATGGAATCCTATTCCTATGGAGGAATTCTTCATATCCTCCACATTCCATAGGAAAATAAAAATTACCTAGACTCAATTGTAAAAATCCTATGATGTGAATCAAAGGGCATCTTCTTTCCTATTCCTACTCATAGAATTTGAGATACATGTCATCTCATTTCCTATGACTTTCCTATTCCTACGATTTTCTTACCCTATGAACCAAAGGAGCTGTCCTTTGAATCGAAGGAGCCCTAAATCTTTATATATTTTGGCCAAATAAAACATCTTTATGTTTTTTTGGCTAAAGAACATAAACTCCGAATTTTAATTCTAAAAAAATAGACAACCGACAAGCAAATAAAATTAAAGCATAATCACTTCTATGTACAAGATGAATATTTTATAAGAAAAACCTGTGAATGTTTTGAACATATAATTACTTTAATTTTTTGTTTCATATGCGTACAATTTTAAAATTATACATATAATTCATAATTTAACTTGGTGGGATTTTAAAATTAATAGGTGAGCATTTTTAGTCTAATTTATATTATTTATATGTATATTATTCATAATTAGAATTTACATTTAAAAATCATAAAATGAAAAAAGAACTAAAATGATTGTAGCACACGAGCACATTATGTTATATCAAAAATGTAACAATTCTATATTAGTTGGGGTGGCAGGCCCTCCTGTTTGTTTTACTCTGGTCGCTGGTATGAAACTCAATGGGCATCATTTTTTTTTCGGATTAAAATTCTCAGTTTATGTTATTTAATCCTAAGATATAAAATTTGTGTATGCACATATGCCATCAACGCTCCTTAGACCTGGGTCAACCGTTTGAATCCCTCGGTGACCTATTTTTCATTGTAATAAAATTTGTGATGTATCGCTGGCAGGTGGGACCCTCTGACTGTACACTTGGCAGGGGCCTTTTCATGAGAAAAATTGAAATCCGAGAGGATTTTTGCAAAAAGAGCAAGCCACACACCTCTGTCTTCACCATGCAGTCACTAACAGCGGGCTCTACAACATGCTGTCATGCCTCGTCAGCATCTTGGTCGTATATAAACGAGATTTGGACGCCAAAGCCAAGCTTTTTACACCACTTCAATGTATGCCACAAGTTGTACCATTAAAGTGACTGTTTGCGCCAAGTTCTAGCATCACGCGTGTAATTGACTCATTTCAAGAAGAAAAGCTACTGTATAATATTGTCGAGCTTCTTCAGCTTATTGGCGATGGCCATGTGTACATGTTGTCCTTGAAGTTAAGCAGCTGTAGAGTAGACTAGATGCTAACGCGCACTTCGCCGCGTTGTTTTTCACTCGTGAAGTTAACTTTCTATATCTATAGATTATTGTGATTAGTTGTTTTGTTGTGATTTTATTTATGTTGGCTTTGTGTTTTTATTTTTTATTAGTGGTGTTTTTTATTCGTATATCATGTTGGGTTGCCTCTGGAGTATTTTTTTTTAAGAGAAGGAAGGAGTTATTTGATGTGTGGTTGCGAAGCATTTGCACATTTTAATCTTGGTGTCAGCCCGGTAGTGATTTATTAGATATTATAGATATTAATATTCTTTAATATAAATTTGGTCAAACTTATCAAAATTTGACTTCAGATAAATCTAATGCAGAGTAAAAAAAACCGGAGGAAGTACTTAGATGTGAGGTATTCTTCTCAAGAAAACACTTAGATGTGAGGTATTATCTCACAACTAGATGAGATATAGCCACACCCATATGGAAAAACCAAAAAAAGAAGAAAAAGACGAGCCTAGTAAACCGGAAAGAAGAGAGTATACACTACTGTTCATCCAGGATAGTAAACTGCATCCAACAGCACTACAACAGCTATCTATCACGAACATTGACGAAAATACAACTCGATGGTACTCCATTGTTTATATTCAGCAAAAGAAAGTAAACTGATATCTCGCCATCTCGGCTCAGTACACAAAAGGCAGTAGCCGGCTGGCCGCCCAACCCATGACGAAGGATTGATTCATGGCATCTCTGGCTCGCTCGCATGGTCACCTCGTCTCGCGTTCAACGCAACGGCGGGATGCTCTGCTCGTTGCTGAAGTAGTTGGTTGGATCCACGGCGGCCTTCACCGCCGCGAGCCGCCGGTAGTTGCCCACGAAGTAGCGCTCGCCCCACGCCTCGCCGCCCTCGAACGTCCCGCCGGCCTCGTCGTCGTTCTGCCCGATGTCCAGGTCCCGGAAGTTGACGTACGCCCGCCGAGGGTTCTTGCTCACGTGTTGTCCCATCAACTCGTACAGGCCCTCGATCCATGCCGTCGCCGCCGTGCCGCCGTCCCCGCCCTCCTGCGGCCACGACACGAGGTACTGCATCACGTACAGCACGCCGTTCCGGTGCGGGTACGGCGTCGCGGCGGCGGGGACGCTGCCCATGAACCCGCCGTGGGGCTCCAGCAGGATGAACCCGGCGCCGGCCTTGGCGAACCAGGGGAAGATGTCTTCCCACGCGGCCTTGGAGATGGCGCGTCGGACGTAGTCCGACATGACCTTGTTGGACCTGCTCAGGCCGGTGGTCCTGTTCAGGAGCGCCTCCTCCAGCGTGCCGTTCCCGCCGAAGCTGAGGAAGGGCGTGGCCGCCGACTGCACCCAGCTCATCGCCTGGCAGTCGGCGCTCGTCATGCCCAGCTCCGGGAACTGCTCGTCCATCATCGCCACAAGCGAGCCGCACCCGCCGAGGTACAGGGCCTGGAACATGGCCTGCTGCCCCTGCACGAT